ATTTCAAAAAATGAAACAATAATAAATATTTATGAATATTTATAAATATTTATAAATATTCTGTGCTGTCTTTCATAATATTTAAAACTATATCTTTTTGCACTTTCAGGCTGAACACGTGGATAGCAGTCTTTTGCACCCTATTGATGGGCGGCGGCGCTTTTCATGTGTTTGCGTTACTCTATCAGAAATACGCAATACGTGCGTCTCTGACGCACAAAGTGAACAATAGCATGAAAGGTTTGTATCTGTTCACCGAGTTCCAGAACAGCGTATTGTACACATACAGCATGTTGCTCCAAGTCTCTTTACCACGTTTGCCGAATGCCTGGACTGTGAGAATCTTCATCGGCTGGTGGTGGATCTACAGTATTTTAGCAGCCGTCACTTATCGTGCCAGCATGACAGCAACCTTATCACATCCTGTTGCTAAGTATAGTATATGATGATATCATAGATATAGAATTTAAATTGCATTATCCGCATCTAAATGGATATCAATCCATGTAACATAGATCTTTAAGGGAAGTTCTGAAGGAACCTGTGAGCATCTCAACGCTCTGAGAACATTTCCAGAAAGATCCTCTTTAACTCTTTGGACTAAAGTGCGCTGTATGGAAAATCAATAAAAATGAGAGAGAGGAAGTGTGAAAACGATCAATTTCTTTTTTTCTATAAGATATACTATACTGTAATTGATTGAATAGAAAGACATAGAAACTGAATTGAACTGAGTTGTTAATTTTAACAACTCTATTTTGTATATCTCTCAGAAAGTCCACAATATGTCTTTAAGTTAATAAAATTATTTTTTTATATTTTATTTTTTTTACAGTCAAAATTATTCATTATGTGAAATGAAATAAATAATAAAACATATATGTTCTTTCATCAGATTTTTTTTTTAGCCGGTTTAAAATGTTCTCGAAAATCGTAAAACATTTGCATACATTTGAATATTATTATATTAACGCTTGAAAAAAATTACAAAATTACACTAAAATATATGCATAACAAAATCGATTTTCAGTTAATTTAATTAATAATATATTTAAAAATGTATTTCTACAAAAAATATTTTTAAGAATAAAAATATATTTCTGTTCTTTCTTTCAATTAACGTCATTTTATTCATTTATTATTGCAGAGTAACTATCGACACATTAGCACAGCTGACTAAATCATCGCTAGCAGTAGGAGGATGGAATGAGGAGAGCAAAGAATTCTTCCTTACCTCTTCGGATCCACACAGTCAGGAGATTGGCAATAAATTCGAGTTGACGGAAAACGAGGAGGATGCAATCGATCGAGTAGCAAATGGGACGTTTTGTTACTATGAAAACTCATATTTATTGCAGCACGCTCGTGGAAGACGAATATTTGACAAGCAAAATGGTCAGAATAGAACTGAAAAGAGCACTGAATCATCAGTCAAGTACAATATACATATTATGGAGGAATGCGTCGTCTATATGCCAATCGCGTTAGGGCTGGAAAAGAATTCTCCGCTTAAACCTCATGTGGATTTATTGGTATTTTGTGAAAGACCTCAAAATAACAAGCTAATGTCATTTTTTTATCAAGATGATGTCTAATGTCAAAATGATGTTAACTTGTTATACTTTGGATAATTATATAGTTGAGATGATTAGCAGCTTTAAGTATTACGGATATAGTGTACCGAGAAACGCGAGAAGGACAAATATCTTCATAAAAATAATTTTATTTATTAGAACGTATATAAATTTTCTGATTTCTAGCATCAAATCTGACGAAATGAAATTAATTTTTTATTACTTAAATTTAAGTTAAATATCAAATAAATTATATACAATAAATAACAAGAAGGGGCTACAAGCCAGATTTTTATGTATTTCAAATTCTTAGAACATACGTTTCGATTATTATTATTATTAGGTCATCTTCAGTGTAAAGAAATTAAACGGAAATTTGACAAAATTAATAAAACGGTTAAAATAATACAATTTAGCAGAAAATAGATAGAATAAATACTAACTTTTTGCGTAACTATAAATTGTATAATTTTAACTGTTTTATTAATTTTGTAAAATTTGCATTTAATTTCTTTACTCTGAGGATGATCTAATAACAAGGTCGAAATGTATGTTCTAAAAATTTTAAATACATAAAAATCTGGCTTGTTGCTCTTTCTTGTTATTCATTGTTATTATTATTGATAAGATTATTTTTAAATAAATTATATTTATAAAAATTTTTTACATTTTGAAAAATATTGTATAATATATTGGAATGATAGATTAACTCATTAAAATAAAATTAATATATATCTATTAATGATTCGCAATTATTAAAGAAATGAAAAAATCTTCTTTTCATTCTTTTATCTTCTTGATACTAGTACAACTTTTAGGAAATAAGATTTATTTAGCTTCTCTTATATAAATCGCGTTTTAGGTGAGACGAATGACGGAAATTGGTTTGGTGCACAAATGGCTGAGCGACGTAATGGAATGGTCGAAAATCACTGAATCACGGCAAAAATCTCAATCCGAAATAGCATTAGTAAACCTACAAAAATTATATGGTGCTCTTACTGCTCTCGGTATTGGTTATCTTGTCAGTTTTATAGCTTTACTCGGAGAAATTCTATACTGGAGATACATTGTCTTAAGAGACCCGAGATATGACAAGTATCATCTCGATATATTTTATAGAAAGAGCGATAAAGCAAAAACTTGAAGCAACATTCTTATGTTGATTCTATAGTGCAGCAAGTCAATAAAAAAATATGGATTATTATGCATGTATGCTTTTAATTTTTCTCAGACCAAAATAATATCAAAATAAATATTAAAAATTAAACGCTAGGAAACGTAGAGAACATTAAGAAAAATGTCCAGTGCTTTTCCGAAATCGTTCTAATGCTTTCTTCGACCAATTCAATTTCGACCGAATTCGGGATTATCCAATGAAGGTAACAAACATGTTTATCCGATAAAATGTAATTTCCGATTACATATAAACGGATTATGAGCCTATCCGTTAAAATTTTATGGGATAAACCTACAATTTGATCGGTCATTAGACTTGAACGGATAAAAAGAAAGTATTTTGTCCGATAAAATTTGATATCAAAGAAGGTGCTGACTAATCACAGAATAATTGGTCCATAATCCAGCGATTGTTTCCATAGGCTCTCTAGACTGATAGCCAGGACTGGGCACATATTGGAAATACTTTTATTTGAAAAACAGTATTGGTAAGACAATTATATTTTGTATTTTGTGTTTCGGAGTACATGAAAATATTTTGTATTTTGTATTTCATGGGAACATATAAAAGTATTTTGTATTTTGTATTTCAAATACTGACATTGATAACAATCTTATTGTTTGAATTTTAAAATACAAAAAGCTTTCAATTTTAAATACAAAATACGTAATATTTTTATGTGATCCACTGAAATAAAATAGTATATTTTAAATAAAAGTATTTCAAATATTGGATTGTCTGGAAAGTCGTGCCGCAAAAGATTTAAATTTAATAAATATATACTAAAATTTAAATCTTCTGCGTTTCAATTTTCCTTCAAAATCGGCACGAACTTTCCGGACAATCCAATACATGCTCAGTTCTGCTGATAGCATTACTTATGTTAAGGTCAAGCGAACACGTATCTCTAGTACAAATATCTATTTGATTTTTATTACTTGTCTCTGTTTATATTACGCATTCGTTCTTATTCTTAGCTGCATAAATTACAATATCATTACAAATATCGAAAAGAAGTGTGACGACGAAACTTTTCGGGATATAAAAAGAGTACTTCGAAAGTTGAGGAAAAAGTAATCCAGTATATTCGATGAATACAAAAATTTGTAATTGACCTCCAAATTGTATTTATTCAAAATTTTCCCGTAAAAAGATGTCATATATTCATCATTTAGTAGTCATATATTCATTCAAAATTTTGGATTTTCAAAAAATATTTATTCACAAAAAACTATGAATATTTAATATATGTATTCATATTCATTCAAACAAAATATAAACTGAAAAAAAGTTCCAATCATTATCCCTTAACTATAATCGGCCTTTTGATGATTTAAATAAAAAAAAATAGAATTTTATTTATTTTTGTCATTATAATATTCAAATTTTATGAAGGAAATTTAAAAATTTTGAAAAATATTTTAGAAAGCAATACATTTTTTATTTATAAATATCTATTTGATAGAGCGTCATACATATTCCGATATAATTCTGGTTACATCACAGTAAATACAGTAATGTTATAAACATTTTATAAGATATCTTGAGCGTGTCGTTCATTATAGTCTGTGGACATTTAATTCCGAAATATATTATTTATTTCCAATAAAAATATCTTTGTTTAATCTATCTAGGTTGAACAAAAACGCTCATCGAAGTGCTATTCTAACCTGATTCTGTTAAAAAGGTCGGAAATATGTACAGGTATCTGGAAGAAGAAAAAGAACCCCTTCTGTTATTATCGAAAATACCCGGTTGTTGAAAATTGCAAAAACCGCAACGAAAGAAACGAAAGTTTGAATAATAACCGCGTCAATGGAGCCAAAATGGCGGCAGTTTGTGGTACTTAGGAGATCGATGGTATATCTGAAATGAGATGAAAATTATAAAAATGAGCGAATTTATTAGAATATTGATTATTTTATTGGTCAACACCTAATAAATTTGTTCGCTTTTGTAATTTTCACCTTGTTTGAAGAATCGACCCCCTGTTAATCTAATGACTTTATCTCAAATTTCTCTCTGCTGCTATGTAAGGCCAACTTTAGGTACAGTAAAAATACGGAGTGCGCTATCTACACTTATTACATCTATGACCTGCACATAAAAAAAATAATACGGCTGCTTACAGTACAGACCGTGTGAGTTGTGTTCGTCTGTCGGGTATTATTGCATCATCATTTTTGGAAAGCGTGACCGGCTTCGCAATTGAGTTTATGTTACTCTTTTAGACTTTCGAATTCTACATATTGTTTTTTGTTATTCACCGCTTTTTCGATTCTTCGTATCGGCTCTGTATTAGAATCGGGGCCATTCACACGAAGAAGAAAGTACAGACCGTGTGGACTTTGCAGATACTTTTATAGGTTAAATCGCATATAAATATAAATTAATATAATTTAATTTAGGCCCTGCGCATAATGGAGGAAATATTAAGAACAAGAATAGATATTAAAATTTTAACCTATCAGAAACCGTGTTTCAACGTAATTGGTACCTGATAGGTTAAAATCTTAATATCTACTTCTATTCCTAATATTTCCTCCATTGTGCGCAGGCTGCATGTCGGCGTGTGTACATTCAGAATTTTTTCGAAACCTACTCGATTAAAAAATTTTCATTATTTTGTATTTCTTATGAAGAATTGGCAATTTACCGGTTATATCATAATTTGACAGATCTATTTTTTATATAGATATATATTTTATTAATAGTTATTTAGACATTAACAATTTAATTAATTTCTTATGTTATTAATTTATTATTTGTATCTTTTAATAGCCAGAAATATTATTATGGGTGATACAGAAAGGAAACAAGATTTACAAGAGCAAGCATTGGCAAAGAGCGCTGTCCTGATATCCAGCAACTCTTTATCACCTTATACAACTCCAGTAAAAGGTATTTATTTCTTATTTTCCATTAATAAAAAATAATTTTATTACTGTCACTATTGGTATATAAATAATAAATTGGATGTTTAGGTTATGATTTTAATAAAGGTATCAATTATCATGAATTGTTTACAACCATGGCAAGTTGTGGTTTTCAAGCTACAAATTTTGGGTTAGCGATTGATGAAGTAAATCGTATGCTGCATCAGAGGAACATACTTCTCATGGAAGATCAGCTAGATGAAACAGAAGAAGATGAATTTATAAAACGAAAAAATCATTGTACAATATTTTTGGGTTATACATCAAATATGGTATCCAGTGGCATCAGGGATATTATAAGATTTCTTGTACAACATAGATTGGTAGATTCATATATTTAACAGTTTGTCATTTGTTTCAATCTTATCTTGTGACTTAGATAGATATTTTGTAGGTAGATTGTCTCGTAACCACAGCCGGTGGAGTAGAAGAGGATTTCATAAAGTGTTTGGCGCCAACATATGTTGGCAGCTTTTATCTGGACGATAGAAAACTTAGAGAAAATGGACTTAACAGAACTGGAAATTTATTAGTACCAAATGATAATTATTGCTTATTCGAAGATTGGCTAATGCCAAAGTTAGACACAATGCTATCTGAACAAAAGACGAAGGTATATGAGAGTTATTATATTGCACTATTCAATTAGACTGTTTAGCGCGCATTTTTATTTTTACAATTGAATTGTTTTATAGGGTACTTCATGGACACCATCTAAAATGATAGCAAGACTCGGCGAGGAAATCAATCATGAAGATTCAATCTATTATTGGGCCGCGAAAAATAAGATTCCGGTATTTTGTCCGGCATTGACCGACGGTAGTCTCGGTGATATGATATTCTTTCATTCATATAAAAATCCAGGATTCATACTTGATATTGTCGCAGGTTGGTTTTAAGATTAATTTACAATATGCTCTTTGCTTCTTGCTTTTTCCCTATTTATGATTATTTCAGACAGTAATCATGTTTCTTGTCATGTATTTCTTGTCTCTTCTAAAGTCAACTTTTACCTCAGGCAAAAGGAACAGGATAAGAGGTAAAAAGAAATAAAAAAATAGTAAAAAATAAAAGCAGGAAGCTGAAAGCATATTGCAGATTAGGGTTTAACGTGTAACATTTATTAGTCTGCGTAACGCACATGAACCAATGAATCTTTCATCTTCCACAGACGTCAAGAGATTAAACAGGATAGCTATAAAAGCGGTGAATAGCGGCATGATAATTATTGGAGGCGGTGTAGTGAAGCATCATATCTGCAATGCTAATCTTATGGTAAAATATTGACTCTATTTGGTACGTTATTTTGGTGTATTCACAGCCACAATGATAATGATACTTTATTTCAGAGAAATGGCGCGGATTATGCCGTTTTCATCAATACTGCCTCAGAATTTGATGGTAGTGACAGTGGTGCTCGACCCGAGGAAGCGATTTCTTGGGGAAAAATTCGGAAAGACGCTGATCCTGTCAAGGTAACCGCATTACCTCCGTTAAATTACTAAATTTAAATTTGAATGAGCGACGGTCGATCAAATTGTCAGTGATTGACATCGTTATTTCTGTTTTAGGTATGCGCTGATGCCACTTTGATATTTCCATTATTAGTTGGAGAAACTTTTGCCAGATATCATCATTCAGGGAAGATAGGAAAATAAGAAAATGAAGACGAGCTTTAATTATAATGCGGGTAAGACCTTCTGAAAATATCAATAATATTAATAAATGTAATTACCTAAACATATTGATGTATACAATTACAAATATTAAATTTGTATAAAAAAAAGAAACAGCTATTCGTTCTGGGACATTCAAATGTAACGCATGCATTCATGAAATTTTATCGAATGATGGAATGTGCATATAAATACTATACGTATAAAATATTGATACATATACATTTAATATTATATCACTAAGAGAAAAATTTTTAGTATTTGTGACAATAATTACATATTATAACTATGGTTATTACTGCTATAAAAATAACTATGTTAATAATAATAATAACTATATGTATGATTCTATCAATAAATATATGTAGTTGGAATGAGAAAAAATTACAAACATTTTTAGGATAATATAATTTCTAGTCATTTTTGTATCAACTATGTATGTTGATAGAACTATTACATATATAAAAATTATTACTAATATTACTAATATTATAGCAGTAATAATTATAATATAATAACTATACTATTAAATGTAATTATAGTCATAAATAACTTTTTTCTCAGTATATAATTATTATTTTATTTATATAACACTTTCGTTAAATATCAAAGAAGCAATAATAACCCAATCCTTTTAGTAAAATAACATATTGTTATTTTTAATTTCTATCTGTATAACTAAAATGTAAATCAGTTCCGATTGATTAGTTCCAAAATAAACATTTAACGTATGCGCTTAATAATAAACTAAATTTGAATCTAATTAAATATATTTTCTTGAGTTAAATTGTTTAACTCCATTGTTTTAATCAACGACATTGAATTGGATCAGTAGCAATTTGTAGATATGATTAAAAATAACTCAATTATATAATTTAACATTATGAATTTAACAGTGAAATAAAATCCATTTTTATTTTTACATATCTCTTATATAAAATTTTTTTAAAAACATCGATATATTTTTTTTGCGTTAAATGTTAAGAGCCGAGCTCCAATTTAAAATGCTACAGCTTATCAAAACAAATTAGGGTAGTTCCACTTTCCGAAGATCTTCGAGAGATTCGCTAGTTCCTCGGCTAGATCACTCAGGCGTCGCGACGCCTGCGCGACCGCGGCAGGTGCTCGGCGGCGCAGGTTCGCCAGGCATCGCGGCGCCCCGCGGTGATGTCGCGAGGGGGCGGTAGGGGTGGCGGCGCCGTTCGCCAGTTGTTACCCGTAAGCCCGCGCTTGCGGACGACGGGCGTGAAACTAGCCCCGATCATCCCCCGTCGCACGGTTTGAGCTCCCTCGATTCTGTGGTTTCTGCTTTCCTCCCCTCCCCCTCCCCCCACCCCTTATCCCCTTTCCCGCGCGGGGACTGATTGCTCGGGGTAACTGCACGGCTCGTCGCATCGTCGTCGGCCGATCTCCTCGCGACTCGTCGCCATCGTCGTGATCGTCGCGATCGCGCTGCTGTACTCGCCGTTCGTTATCAACCCTTTCTCCCACCCTCCCCGCGGTATATCGCATATCGCATAGCGGTGGTGGTGCTGGTGTTGGTGGTGATAGCCGTCATCGGTATGAACGATGATGGACGTGGAGGAGACCAACACGGCGTCCACCGCGAGCTCCTCGCCGAGACCTTCCAGTCCCGCCGCGGACTCCACTTTTATCAGGTGAGAAAATCTCACGGTACATACATATGTATACATGTACACATGCATATCGAAACGGAGAAAGAAGGAGAGAGATGATCTCCGTGTATAATTTCGGCGAGTTCGAATTCCGGCGATCGGCACGCGAAAATGAGAATCTTTTTACGTGCTCTTACGACGTAAGATCAGTTTTCAGTTTTCCGTACAATGCTGAAAATTGAACTCGTACCGAATTTATACGGTCCGCACATGCGCATACGCAGCTTCCAGTCCGCGTCCGTTTCTCGGCGAATTTGACCATGTTGCTTCTCTTCCCGTTTATCTAGACGATCGCTAAACAACTTCGCAAACCTTACGTCCTCGTTCTTACCACGGTAACATAGCCCTGATCGCGGATATACATTTGTCGAATGTACGTACGTTGTCAATTGCGGATCTGACGACGTAACGTCCCGTCGAAAAATTTGCCGAAATATATTTTTCCGCCAAGTCGCTGAGCTGTGCGCTTCGATTTGCATATTTCGCGATTTTTTAAAAATCTTTCCTATTTTTCGCGGATAGAATTATTGTTGTTCGGTCTTATTTGCACTTGTTTTTGGATATATATCTCAATTTTAATTGTTTGATGAATATTTTTGCCGACGTTAGACTTAACTGGTCTAATTTTTTATGTTGGGCTTAAATCCTTGTTGAGTCTGAATTATTTCGTTCCCACAGCGACAATGTGGTGTATACACGGCATTTGGCGGCCGCTCCGTGTGTGACGCTCGCGATATCACGGTTAGACAGCGGAAATACACGATATTTGCGGGATCGCGCGGGCGCCGATTAATAATGCACGCATTAAGTGCACCGCCTCCCCCACTTCCCCCCCCCCTCCCCTCCTCCTCGAATGTTCCCAGTCCGCGCGCTCCTTCTCCATTCTGTTGATTTAAAAATGCAGGTGGCCAGAGCACACAACGCAGCTATCGAGGCGCGCCGCCGTGAATATCCGAGATCTCTCTTTCTCTCTCGAGATATCCCGTCTCTGTTTCTTATGACTAAACGATCGGACATCGGAACTCGGAATTCCGATCTCCGGAACTCGGCGGTTGAGGAAAACGAATTTTAAGACTGATGAAAATTCAATTCGGAGTCCTGTGCGAATTAGATCACTAAATCTTACGGTAAATTCCGTAATTGAAGCTCGACTTTCGTCGAGCTCCGAACTTAACAACGTGAAAATCATTCTTGCGTTTCATTTGTAATAACGCGAGAAAGTGTCGATTGAAGATTACAGCAGTTTCTGCCCTCGTTTTCAATCCACGATAATTTCTCAATCGAAAAGAAACTGCGAATCGTCTCAATAAAATCAAATCATCTCGATAAGACATGGAAGATTTTTTAATCGTCGTCCGTATATAGATAAAATTATTCTTAAACATTTTAAATATTTTGAATATTTAAATTTCTTAAATATTCGCGCGAAATATCTAAAATTTTTTATTCGAATTAATCACTACGTTAATAAATAGATATGTAT